CTTGTGCTCCATGCTTCCGCACCGGAGACACGCACCCGATGCGCGCCAGCTCGCACATTTCTCCTTCCCAGCGGTCGAACCAGCATTACGACCCGCTGGTGGTTTTCCCGACGAACCACCTTTCTTTGGTCCAGCCGCAGCATGACCGACCAACTTAGCTTCTTCCGCAGAAGTTTCTTCCAACTGTGCAGCCTTTTCCACTAACTCCGGAAAGGTGCGATAGTCTTGCATCTCACAATTCATCTTCAGATCAATCCTTAGCCCGCGAATGAATCGCTTGATCTGAGTATGCTCATCAGTCATACCCCAGTCTGCAAACTTTTTCAGCTTGTTGAACTCGGCTTCATACTCCCGAACTGACTTTGATCCTTGGCGCAGATCCAAGAATGCACTCTCCAAGCGATCATGCGCCTCAGGCGGGAAGTACTTAGCCTTGAACAACCCACGAAAATCAGCCCACGTACCGACTCGCTCCCTTCCAACCGCACCACGCCACCACGTGTGCGCATCACCCTCAAGATAGTGCACGGCAATATCTTTTCTGTACTGTTCCGGGCAGCGAATCGACTCGAAGTTCCTCTCCAGACGGTCGATCCATTCATCAGCCTCAATCGGCTTTGTTCCTCCCTTGAAGAACTTCGTTCCCAACTTCTTCATGTGGTCCATCACCTTCAGGTAAGATGGAACCCTTACACCAGCATTTCCCTCATCCGCTTCAGCAGGCGGATTCACTTGCACGACCGGCGGAGGTGCTACAGGGACAGCCGTAACAGCCGGAAATCGTGCCAACACCTGGGTTAACAGACCCAACACCGCTTCCAATCCGATCGGGGAAGCAGCAACGTTCGGAACAGCCCCAGCCGCAGCAGCCGCAGCCGCATTCTCGGCATTCTCGGCATTCCCAGCAATGCCCACATTCAGATCCACTTGATCCTGATTCCCACCCGCAGCGTTTCCAGCCGCCGAATTTTCACCAGCACGACGTCTATGATCACCTCTTGCCATCTGCAAAGGTTCGATACTCTATTAAGTTAGCCGGCAAACTAACTTAACACCACAAACAAACATTATCAGTCTTACCGCGGAACTTTGGCTTTGGAAGGATGGTTTACCCACTAACCCACTTATGCTATGACTTTGTCCTAGAACCGACCGCGCTCTGATACCAACTTGTAGCACCCTAACCCGGATTTCCGTTTTAACTTATACTTAGTCAAAATTTTCATCCGGATTTTTACTTAACATTATTCGCATTAGGTTCGTTTAGACAACTTTAGCCATGCATAAGTAGATTAAAAACAGAATACTTGAATTAAATCGAGGTTCTCAGTACAATGATCGTTCGCATATAAGCTATTACATTGACTAAGACCTTAACTACCCGATCCTACCATCCATCCTGATCCAGCCATAGTCCGCGCGCTGATCAGACCTCTTTACCTGCATCCACAAAGGAGGCATAAGCAAACAGAATGCTTAGTGAGAGCGGTCATCCCGTCTCACCAGGCCAAAGTATAATCGTATCAAACAAAGATCGAGTCCAATGCTCATCAGAAACAGAAAACTACCCGCGATGAACATACGCGCTTACCCGGCCGATCATCCAGCGACCAGACAAGCCTCGGCGAACATCACAGCCGCGAGCGCCTTGCCTGATCTAGATCGCCGGTAAGCCGGATCGATCACACGGCATAGCCAGCAGAAATGTCATGACAAGCACAGATTATACACGCAACCGACCAGAATCTAAGCAAACATACGACCAACAGGCCACGATCACGCACTCACCTTAGCTTTTATCGGACAGAATTCGGTAAGGACAGAGATCGCGATTGATCAGACTCGTTCCCACAATCGCTCTGCAGAATCCGGACCGCGCTCGACAGAAATGCACTCGCTCTCGGCCAGAATCCGATCGCTCTCGGCCAAACAGACTTTCTCTCGGCTAACTTCTCTTAAGAAGATTTCTCTCAATCTTTCTGAGTTCTTTTGGGTCGCGGGAAAAGAATAAATGATCCGGAAGCCTTTATTATATAGGCGTTCCCACGATTTTCCGCAGAAAACCGCCCAGAAACCGTTCCCGCGTCATTCCGCACGTTCCCCACGATCCGCACGATCCGCGTGCTTTCGCACGACTGATAACCGTTCCCGCGCAACGCCAGCTCGGCTAAAATCCATAACCGTTCCCGCGCTCACGCCTTAGCGCGTCTTTACCCGATAACCGCTCCCACGCACCCGATCTCGACCAAGGTTGTCTGTTCTGGACCAACCTTGTCCGAATTCCGACCAAATCCCAAAAATCTCGGATTGTCGGAATTTCCCAGCTAAATTTCCCGAAATCCGCAGCGAGCTGATTTCAGCTCGGCAACACTTCGACTCAGCTCGGCTAAACTTGATTCAGCCCGGCAAAACCTGATTTAGCTCGGCAAAAGCTGGACTTAGCTCGGAATCACCCGACTGAATCCAGTTTCCCCGACTAAACCCATTTTTTCCAAATTTTCTCAGTTTTTCCCGAACTCGGGTGTTACACTTGTCCCCACAAGAGGACTGAAATGACAAAATATGAAAATGATAAATTGAGAAAGTTCAAAACTATCGTTATGTGAGGATATAAATGAAAAAATTCGAAAAATAGATTAAAGAGGTTACTAAGATCATAAAAATGTAAAATAGTAAAAAGTAAGCTATGAGACTAAAATCGGAAACAATATGTTTAAAAAAACAAATAACTGAAGAATAACAAATAGGAACAATAAAGCTAAAAAAATCTATTAAACAACATACATATACATAACCTATTTAATTTACATTTAATTATGTTAAACTAAAAATATTAAAGCATAAGCTAAGAATAAATAAAACTCAAATTTGTTAAAGTGTAGCGATTGACTTCTTATTTTATTTTTCATGTGATTTACTCGTCATCTTTGAACTACAAAGTCAAAGATAACTAAATCAACAAAATTAAAGAAAAAAACAAGTTTTAAGGCCAAAAAATAATATCGAAAGTTAACAAGATTTTCAAGCAACTTAAGAAAAAAAAACAAGAGCTACAAAACTACAACACACGAAACAAAAATTCAATAAATAATCAAGTAAATAAGAGAATATCAAAATTAGAGAAAAAATGATAGAAAAAAAGAAAAGAATTTAGCAACAAATAAATATACAAAATTTAAAGATACTAGTTAGAAATATGGATTCAATAAAAATGTATGTAATAAAAAAATATAAAAATAATAAATTTAGAAAGTTCAAAATAATTTTTATGTGAGAATTTCAATGAAAAAAATTTGAAAAATTGGATGAAAGAGATTACTAAAATCATAAAAAAATGCACATAGTAAAAAGGAAGTTATAAGGCTAAAACTAAAAAAAAATGTTTTAAAAAAAACAAGTAACTAAGAATACTATGAATAACAAATAAGAGCAATAAAACTATAACATAAAAAAAAGCAATAAAGAATCGAAAGAAAAAAAAAAAGAATATATATGACAACAATATTGAATGTATTAGTTGGAAAGATGGATTGAATTAAATGTGTAATAAAAAATATGAAAATGATAAATTGGGAAAGTTAAAATTATTGTTAGTCAGGATTTTGATGAAAAAACTCAAAAAAGATAACAAGCTTACCTTAAATATAAAAATAAAAAATGTATATTGAGAAAATTAAAAATTATCTCTAGATAAAAATTTAGATCAATGAACTCAATATTTGGATGATAGAACTAAAAAACTAATGAATAGAAAAGATTACTAGAGTTATCAAACAAAAAAAATATATACAAAAAACAAAAAAAAAACAAAATTGATAGTTTGACTAAAAATCAAAAACATATTCACTCTACACACCCATAAATCTACCAAACTATATCCAAATTATACTATTTTATAAATTCTACCATACATTAAATAATAAATCTACTATACGGACTCCGAAGTCTAAAATAAATCTACCATACATACTCCAAAGTATATCATAACATATCATGACATACCTTGTTGTCATCCGAATTACTTTTCTCCTGTTCTATAACAGTCTCAAGATTGAAACGCAGACGAGATGAATGCCACCTAAAGAGAGGAATTGTATCAAGATTTTGGTCGTTTTGTACTATTTTCCCAAACTTTTCTCCCGATATAGGCACTGACTCATATCCCCAAATAAGCACTGCATGCAGAAACCCATGAAGACTATAACTATCTCCACCTAAAGAAGCAACTCTAATGGAGTCTATTAAACTCTTGAAACAAGCCGACCCCACAGATAACTCTCGAAAGCTTCTCCATCTAACACCCTTTTAGCTCAATTCAAAGGGACTCGACTGTTCTGGTGAAGACCAAATATTCCAACATGCAAGATGAAGAGCTTTGCTACCATTCTATTCTTCGGACCTGTCCAAGTCTGACATCTCGACAAGACATCTGCTAGCTGATACCAATTAGGCCCTTCTGATGCACTCACACCCAACTCGGCCCAAAATTCACTGTGATCTGTGTTCCAATCATCTTCCACAATCAGGTCACAGTTTAGCCACATAATATCAGCAAACTCGTGCAAAGAAAACGTAAATAGTTGGCCACCTATGATTGACCACATCTCATACCTGTAGCAACACCAAATCAAACAAAAATACAAGTCTACCATAAGTACATATACTAAAACAACACTACAAAACAAGTCTACTACATATGTGACCATTCTATTAAGTAAAAAACAAGTATACCTGATACAAGCGCCAAGCTGTCAAGGACTTGTATAGAATCGGAAGCAAAGCTTTAGGTCGATGGCCTAGGGTTGATTCAAATGAATGAGCAACTCTAGACAAGTGAATCGGTGTAGCGGCTAAGTGACAAGGTGGATCGATGTGTACCACACAAGTTGTGTAAGACTTGTGATAAAACACGAGAATTTTGATCTAGGAGGTACTGGTCTCAATTAGAAAAAGGGTTAAACAAGTTTCTCTCAAAGAAAACTGGTTTGAAGAAAGTTCGATTTTTATTGATATGAAAGGTGAAAAATTACAAGACTGTAATGGGTCACTATATAATGGTCCTAGCAGCTTAGACTCAAAGAACTAAAAAGACTCAAAACAACAGGACTTTTAAAAGTAAAGACTCAAAACAACAGAACTTGTAAATTAAAATGCTACATTAAAGGACTTAAAAAAGGAAATAAAAGACTACTAAACTAAATTGTCTCTGTATAAGACCAAAGACAATTAAACTCGTTAGTCAAAGGATTTAAACTTGATTGATCACTTACCTTATTTGGTGGCCAAGACATGTGTGGCTTTGACCGAGTTTGAATCTTCCCTTCTAAGTGTCTTGGTGCATTGTCGAGATGGTCATCACGAAGATTTGGGCTTGATTTGGCAAAAGGGGCCAGACATCTTGATTCTTTGAATCTGGGCCGTTTGCTAGCTCTTGGCATTCTTTAAGTAATCCAGTCCAAGCTTGGGCTTTAAGCGGATCCACTTCTTGGTCTTCTTGCGGCTTCACTTGATCCACTTGTGACATTGCTTGCATCATGCTCTGGTTATACTTGTGTTGGAGAATCTTAGCTCTTTGTCTTGTTATGGGGCCTTCATGAAAAATTGGTACTTCCACATCTTGTAGTTCTGGCTCGGTTAAGTCTGGTTCAGCTTGAATGGCCTCATCAATACCATAAGCACAAAACAAGTATATCTTACAGAAGTAAAAGTTTATCACATTTACGTCTACACCTTAGTGCATTCATACCTTTTGTCAATAGCAGTTCGTTCGTTAAGAACTGATGAACCAGGTGGGCACTCCGAGTGTACCCTCTCCCTGCAAGATTCAGAAGTAGTCCTACTACAGATGTGTTCATTACATTATTGAAGACCTCGTTGCCTAATCCCTGCCTCAGTTTTGAGAAATCGGTTAAGTGGCAGCCGTAGTTTAAACTAAGGTTCTGCAAGGGAGACTTTTCTGGTGGATACATTCTTATTGGATTATCCTTCGACTGGCTAGATGTAGCCATCTCTGTAAACCTGTAACATATAATTATGTAAGGTACACAAGTCTACTAATCACGAAATAAATTTACCAAACTAAATAATAACTCTTCACACATGAAAGTCCAAAACAGTTACTTAATCAAGTCTACCACATTAAACGTTAAATCTACCACATGATGAAAATTAGGAACCAGAAAATAATTTATGGGAGTGATTTTTGTTGTTTTCCAGAGTAGACGGTGATTAGGCTAACTACATCCCTTTATCCCGAAAAAAACCTTCTTCCTAGTCGAGTAGATATTATTACGTACAGCTCACCGGGAATTCATTGACCAGAAATTTATAATGCCAGAACTTCTATCTGTCGACCAGAACCAATAATTTTGAAAGATTCCTGCAACAAACAAAAATTAGGGTTTAGTTCTCTCGCAAATATAGGGTTTATTTTCAGCCGCGACCATTATTGCTCCATGGCAAGGCGAATCGACACAGGAAGTTTCGGCGTCATCCCTCGATGGCTCTATCCACTTTACGTCACGGCTCTGTCTACTTCGCATCCCCCCTCACCAATGAAACTCGCAGAAGAAACTCGCGAAAGAAAAAACTCAGAGAAGAATAAAAGAAGGGTTATTGGGTTTCTTACCAGAATCAATGGCCGTCGAGGAGAAAGATAGAGTCTTTGTCGCCAAAAACCTCGCTGGAGATTTACTCACACCTCTCGAAATCTCGATTTAGATCTTCACCTTCTTCGTCGGCAGAACAGAATTAGATTTAGGCAAAGTTTAGGGAAACTTTTTTTTTCTTTTTTTATTAATACGGTAGAGTTTACAATTTACAACATTTTTTGGAAAATATCGATTTATCATTGGGAGGATAACTAATGTAACTTTTAAATCTATATTTATTAATAGTTTGCCACCCTTTTGCAGTTTATACTAGACTAACTTTATATAGCGATTTTGCCCTTTTCAGCTTTGACGACAAAAAACGTAATATCGAAAATGTCATTACTTTTTATATGTCATGTAAGTAAAAAGTAACACAGAAACAAAAAAATAAATCTACTGATATTTGAAGTAGACATTGAGTTTGCTCAACGCAAATTTTGGTCGGTAGATTTGTTGGACAGAAGATAGATTTATTAAATTTTAGTAGATTTATTTTAGTATAGATATTTTGATATCATAATAAACCTATTATTTGTTAATAGACTTATTTTTTGTTAGTAAATTTTCTGTCTTTGACGATAGACTTATAAATAATCTGTTGACTATCGGAAATTTTTTGACTTTCTGGATACATAGGTTAATCATAAAAATTTGATATATATATTTTTAATGTGATAGATTTATTCTTAAAAATTGATAGACTTATTCGTAATATGATAGATGTATTCATAAAATTGATATACTTATTTGTAATCGTAAAAATTGATAGACTTATTTCTAATATGATAGATTTATTCCTAAAAATAATGTGGTACATTTAATTTTGAGTACGATAGATTTAATAATTTTTGGTAGATATATAGAATAATTGATGGACTTATTTGCAATAACGGTAGACTTATAAATGTTTTTGATACTTACTCAGATAACCTCTACCTGAATCAGCTGGTAGACTTATATGTTGTTGTGAGGAGGATAGACTTATTAACATTCTTTAGTGGTAGACATTTGACTTTTTAACAACGAGAAATAACTTTTTTGCCCACACTAATCCTTAATTCTACGAAATAACCGACTATATCATCTTCTTTGATTAGGTCTGCCGCTGTCTGAGCTGTGAGACTTCTTAATGTCTTTTTTTGTTTCTTTCTCTCAAGCTTAAATCATCAATCCACTTCTTTTCTCTTGTGATCAACCACTTGTGAACTCTATTACCTTCGATCACCTTTAATCACCTTCAATCATGGAGCAAGTTATTCTGGTAAGTGGTAATTGGTTTCTATTTTCTAAGGAAGAATAGGTGGGTGTTCGTCGTATATCAGTCGAGAAGATCCTGCATGGTAGGGGTAGATACATTTGTAGCTTTTTATAGCTTTATTCCTTTGTAGTAGACTTATTGACATGTTTTGTAAACATGTTAGAGTTAACGATGCCAAACTTTTGCCTGTGCAACAAATTAATATGGATCATTCAGAGGTCATGGGCATGAGTTATGCACATGTTATCAGTTGAAAGGAGAAAACATGTATGTGATGATTGTAGAGGATAGTTTTGTTCGACGTACAAAACATTATCAGTCTACCGTCGTTAGAGCTCGACATACATAATAAGTCTACCTTTGTGAACATAACAAGTCTACCGTAATAAGAGTTTGACATACAAAATAAGTCTACTTACATATGAAATTAGATCCCAAAAATGTCTTTGTCGTCCCATCATTTTCATTTAGCAGAGTTTGTGTCAGGTCCATACTTTTCGCCCGCTTCACCACGCAGGTTTGGATCAGAAATGGGCTTCCTGGTATGGAAGTCCAGAGTGGGTTGTCCCTGCAGAGGTTATTAGTCGTATGTTTGGAATTAGTAGAACTTGAATATGAACACATTTATCAAACTATCCTCGACAATCGACAAACAAATGCACCAAACTATACAACAAATTACAACATGTATATCATACTATATCATTTACGAACAAGTCTACCGTACTCTAAACTCTAGAAATATCAAATAAATCTACCATACTCAATCATCCACAAACAAATCTACCATATAATACAAATAAATCTACTAACTTAAACAAGCAAAATCTACATACAATCGATCCCTTAAATAAATCTACCATCAAAACCAAACAAATGGACCACAGAATTATGAAGAAATCGACCACAAAATAACAATGAATCACCGGAAATTGGTTACCCTCACAGGAATTTTTTACCTCACACCAGATATTTGACAAAAAACCTCCAAAAAAATTAATTAAGATTGGAATTACGAGAAACAAACACATCCGCCGCAACTTCACTGTGACGCCTCCTCACTGTGTCTTGAGTATGAAAAGAAGAAGAGAGAGAAAATAAAAAAAATAAGATTTTTTATAATAATTATTTCTTAATAAAATTAGTTTTAATAAAAAAAATAAATCATAATGGAAATTTCATAATAAATTCTAACATTTGGGGACAATGTACAATCAACTTAATCAGGTTATTCTAGCAAAGTAGACTTATTGGAGGTTACACATGCAATAAACCATGGTTAGGAGGTGATGTGAGTGCAGTGGGCAACAAAAGTTTTACCCTAGACAAGCTGCAAGTGCACAGCAAACGCAGTAGTACTTAGGGATCGAATTCACAGAGATCTGTGTGTTGAGGACTCCTAACTGATGCTAAAAACAATCGTAAACCTAATCTAATAAAAAAAGGGCTTTGGTTTGTCACTAAATCTAATTATGCAGAGAATTAAAAAGAGCTTTAAGTAAAAATCGGTTGAAAAACAGTAAGGAAAAAGCGCTGGATTCAAGGTTCATCTTTAGGGTTCATGTTCTAAAACACAAGGAATTTAGGCAAGGATTTTCTATGACTCTGAAACTAGGATAGACACATGTAAGATTAGCCAACTCTCGTCACCCTAATCATCTAATCACTTGTTCATGGCAATTAACTCTCGCTCTCATGCCAGAACAAGATCATGCCTTGTAGATCGGAATCCATCTCTGCTTACGTATCCTCCGTAGGTAGCTTTTGTCTCCTACGATGGGGACGTCCATAAGATCCAGTTCAGGCAACCCAGATACAACACTCTCGTGGCTCGGATTAAACCTAGGATCGGATTCTGGGTGATCAATCCAGAATTACCACTTTGAGATTTGGATGAATGGGATAATCATGTTAAAAATCGAAATCTTTTTCCCTAAAAACCTAGATGTCATTCGAACATGGGATCCCTTTGGATTACCCTTTCACCCAACTAGGTGACTACTCAGACATGGCTGAGGTAGACATCATCATCGGTTTAGAAATAAGAAGAAGAAAAGTAAAAGAAACAAACTTGCAGAAAAACTTCTCTTATTGAAGACAGTATGGCGATGGAGAGCTTCTACAAATGCATAAAAATAAAACCTAAAACTATAAATGAGTTCTCTCTCAAAGAGAAGAAAGAGGCTCTCTTACAAAACACATAAAAATGAGTATTTATAGTGTTTCTCCAAGTCCTTGTGCTTGACTAGGCTTGTGTTGATCAGTCTTCAGTGCATTGATGATATCTTGAGATCTAACCGTTGGATTGCTTTGATTCCAAGTGTGTTGGAAAGCTGGTTGTCTCCTCTATAATATCTCCAATTTTGGCTGTTTAGGGTTACCACAAAAGAAACTAGCATGTAAACTTTAGTAATTGATGGGTCAGCCGCGGCTGGATTGATCGCGGCCGAGGTAAATGCCTCCGGGAGTTCCCGGTTTCTCCCGTTTTCCTGCTTTTTCTCTCTTTCTTTTTGTATTTTCTGTTTTTTTGAAATTTTTGGTTTTTTCTGGGTTTTATGAAAGCCTGAAATGCATAAAAAGAAAAGAAATCAAATCGAAAAGAAATAAAAAGAAAAGAAAATCATACCGAATGGGTTGCCTTCCATTAAGCGCTTTTGTTTAAAGTCTTTTAGCTAGACTCTTGGCAGGATTAGGATTGAGAAGAAGAGACAGGACCCCTTGAATTAAGAGTCCTCGTGGTCCTTCTCAGCCTAAACTTTGGATTTCCTTCATCTTGAATCACAATCTTTTTTCCTTTCTTAAGGATTTTTTCATCCTTGAGGACATATTTTGTCTTCTCAACAATTCCTTCAAGATTTTTGTCCTTTTCCTTGCTGATGTCTGGTGGCACCACTATCTTGATGTTCCCAAATTACCTAGATGCAAGTGCTTTTAGTTCCTTCTTGTCCTCCAACACCTTCTCCTTGTCCTTGTCTTTTTGATTTGGAGCGTGGTCTGGTGTGGTCTTATATCCACATTTAAGAAAACTAAATAGTGATTTGCATGGTCAATAACAGCACCTACAGTAGCTAAAAATGGACGACCAAATATAAAAGGTCTGTCTTTGTCCTTGTCCATCTCCAAAACTTGAAAATTGGCTGGGATTGTTTTGTTTCCAATGATCAGTGGCAAGTCCTGGATCATTCCTTCTGTTCTCTTTTGAGATGAATCACCAAAGATTATCCTTACTGGAGATGGGACAAATGTGCCTATACCAAGTTTCTCAGCAACAGATTTTGACATGACATTCACATTGGCACCAGAATCACATAAACAATCTGAAAATTCAATTCCAAAGATTGAACAGGTGAATGAGAAACGCCCTGGATCCTTAGACTTTCTGAGTCTTTGGTCAGGCAAGCGTTTGGGTACCTTAACCGGAATGAATTGGCTTCTCTCATGCTCGGTTTCAGAGTCCTTTATGAGAGGCTCAGGCGTCAATCTCCCCTTAGAGTCTGCAACAGGTTCTTCCTCCAAAACTGCTGTCATAGCATTACAGAACTTCTTTGGGTTATCTTCTACTCTTCTTGGTAAAACTCCTGGCTGTCTCTTCATTGAATCTGCAGTTTGACCTATCTGATGTTCCAACTTCTTGACATTGGTTGCAAGATATTCGAACTTCCCATTCAAATCAGTATAGATACAATCGATCTTCACCCCCATTTCCCTGAATGACTTCTCATTTCCTTGAGTAGTCTGCATCATAGTTTGTTCAAGCGATTTTACCTGATTACTTTGCTGGGAAAGGGTTGGTTCTAATGAGATGGTCTGTGCTTGTTGTGGAGTGAATGCTGGTCTTTGTTGGAAGTTTCCTCCTCCATAGTTTCCACCTTGAAA